TCAGGACACCCGAGTTACTCCAATAGTATAACGATCATCTTGTTTGCTGGAATTGAACATGTTTCAGTTAGTGCGAAAGGCATTTTAATTGATGGCTGAGCGTAGATGCCCCAAGTACTCACAAGGAGTAGGTTGGTTGAGTTATGTTTCTGATGCAGAAATTCTGGATCTCATCCTAGATACGCTAGAGAAGTGTGAATCCCAAGATGTAGTGAAACCCTCCGACCACACCACGATATGTACCTCTATATGTGTGCTTAGCTTAGTACCCTCGTAAGTTAATATTTATGTTTGCTAGCATGATCATGTAGTTGACGCATGTAGTATAGTTTGGTTATTAATGTGACATTGAGCTTGTAAACTCAGAGTTCATAATTTGTTTCATTGCGCAGGTTCATAGGAGTAGCTTTCTAGGAGCTTATGACATAGTTCACATTCCAGACTGGCTCGGACTTCAGAGTACGTCTTGAGTCTTCTTAAAATGCATGTATTGTTTATAGACCTTCTTGTATTCGAGTCATATTTGTATTTTGAAATACTCGTTTAAAACATTTTGTATGTATTTTGGGGGCTCCCTATATTTGTAAACTTGAACATTATGTTTTTATTTTATGATTATGATGGATGGTTTTTATTTGAGGTTTTACAAGCTTTTACAAAGAAATTTTTGGATTAGCCACTTCGGTGGTCCCGTTTAATGTTTTAGTCCATCGATATGCTGGTCATATTGGATTAGGACGTTACACAGTGGTATTATTTGTTATGAAGATTCTTAACTATTTGAAAATGAAAGTTTAAATACATTATGCAGTTATTAGCATTCGAACCTAGGACATCTAAAGGTAACAATTATCCCTTTAATCATCGATGTTGTTTCGATTTTACAAATAAGATTAATATTTAAAATAAAACAATACTTTACTTATATTTGGACTATTTAACTTTAAAGCTACCTTATACTTTTAACTTAATCAAATTGCAGTTAGTTCTAACAAAATATGAGTCCCAATTAATCTGTCACCTTCCCACGTGAGTAGGTTTTTATAAAACTCTGTTTTGTACGTTGGTAAGATAAGGCGTTTCTGTTAGAACTAACCCATAATAAATATGAAAATTAACTAGGATCTAATTATATCAAATCATCAAGAATAAAATATTAGATGCGGAAGCATACCTAAGTTAACGAATAGGTTGAATACTTGAGTATATCTTTGGTTGAGATCTTCCAAGAAAATAGAATTCCCTTAAGTATAAATCCCTTGATGGGATAAGAGAAAATACGAGATTGTCTATTTCTTGGGGGTCATAACCCGTCTATATAGCTAATTTAAGAATCAATTATTGTTTGTACTTATAATTTTGCCCCTCATCAAATTATAAATACAACTTTAATAGTAGTTATACTTTTATTTCCATGACACTTCTAATATCTTATGATTTTATAACATAATTGGTCACTTAATTTATATTATATTTTATGATAACAAATATATTATAAATATGTACCCATAATTATAGATTTAATCGAACCGTATCAACTAAATCTAATGATATCTATCTATCTATCTATATATATATATATATATATATATATATTAAAAAGCCACGACAAGACTTGTTTTAAATATGATTTAACAGATTTATCTGTATTTAAAATTTTAATATATTCAATCATTTATTTTATGAGATTTTTTTAAAAAGATTTTGCATGAGTTTACTAAGATTTGCCGTGTTTTCATCTTTTATTCTTTCACTTTCTCATTGTTTTGCATGTATTTTTTTGTGTTATTTTATTTTCTCATTTTCTATAAAAATAGTGAATGTTTTTACTGTTTTTGCAGCATATTTTTTTTATAGCATATCTTTTTTTTTTTAAAGATTAGATTTAACGAAGATGTTACAAACTAATTCTTTATATCAATAGATGTTCATAATCACTCCAAAATAAATCATACTTAAATTGTAATAAAATTAATTGTTAATATATCATTATTATTATATTTATTTATATATTAATATTGATATGTTTATCTTTCATCATACCCGTAACAGAATCAATCGATCATATTTTCCGAAGGTGTAACATTGCTAAATTTGTTTGGGAAGAATTAAATGCTACGAAACAGGACAGCCGATTCACTTCGATGAATTTCAAGAATTGGCTGAAATCAATCTGTCTTTCTAAGAAAGTCGGGATCGATGGATTAGAATGGAGACCTTTGTTCATGGCTACTATTTGGGGACTGTGGAAGAGCAGGAATGAAATGATCTTTAAAGAAACATCAATGGATCCCTCTCAAGTGATTACCTATGCCAAACGGCTTGCAATGGATGTAGATAAAGCCCTGTTAAACTCACATAGCAGGATGTTTAATGATCCTTGTTGGGTTAAATGGAAAAAACCTCCTGAAGGGGGTTGGATTCTAAATACTGATGGTGTGTATAAAATGAATTTTGGCCTGGCGGTTGCAGGTGGTCTGATCCGAGATAGCAATGGGGACTGGAAAGCGGGATTCATGCTTAGACTAGGGAGGATTAATAGCTCGCTCGCTGAAATTTGGGGGCTCGGCAGGTTCTCTTGTTAGCGAAAAGTCTAGGGCTTAGAAACCTAATCCTAGAGATGGATGCAAAATGGATTGTGGACCTCTTTAATGGAGACAAAATGGTTGACACCTTGAAACTGATTTGGTAAATGATTGTTTAGACATCCTTAAGGAAGGATGGGTGGTTGAAGTTTGGCACATTTGGCGTGAAGGAAACAAAGGCGCCGATAAACTTGCGAATCTCGCACTTCTATAAGGAGATGATTCCGCTATTCTAAAATTGCCTCCACCTGAAATTCAGGCGTTGTTGGGAGCGGATAAGAACGATGAGCACCAGCTGAGACACTAATTTACTGCTTTGTTCAAGTGTACCAAAAAAAAATCATACCCGTAAATTAATATAATAATATCCTACTATCACGACAGATAGACGTACACGTAAATTAACATAATAATATCCTAAAGTCAGCGGTATATAATAATATGATGTGACTTGCAGCATTACGAAAGGTACGAGGTCATGACTCATACGGATGGGAATATTATTAGTTGTTTCAAGCATGATTCTGCTCAGGATGAATTGGTGGTTACAGATATATATATTTAAATTTTTTTATATCCTTAAATTTTATAAGTTCAAATTCTCCTATATTTAATTCTCCTCATATTTTCACGTTCTTGTATAGTTTATTACAATTGTTGGATGATGGATGAATGAACGATTATGAGAATTTGGCTTCTGTTTCTGCTGCCTAACCCTAAAAGCTTGTATTTTAGCTAGCTAGCCACCTTGTTTGCATGCATGCATGTTGATATTAAACACTTTTTATAATGAAATTTTTTACCATATCATACATAGTTTATTACATAAAGGACTTAAGTAGAAGAAATGGGTTTTGAATTTGATGCTTCTTAGGAAAATAATAAGTCAAGAAAGTGACAGCAGGCCAGCAACTATCTTTGCTCTATACGTATATGTGTATGCATGTATGCATGTATACATATTGCCATATTCTAACAATATCAGTAGTGCCATTTCCATTACTTTTTAAAGAAGCGGAAGATGGCCAGTTTGTGAGCTGCACTACGGGTGAGTATTTGATTCGAATCCAACGAATTCTTATATGATTTTATTTCTTTTTTTAAAAAAATAAGTTCAAACAGGATCAATTTTTTAAAAGATAAAGTCGAATACTTAAGAATAATAGTATAATTTATCTTTATATAAATATAGTTAGTATCCACTTACACTGTGCGAAACTCTTTTAGTTTTACACCTTTTAAGGACTATTGGATTGAGAGAAATCAAACACTGAAATTAACTCTCTCTTTTCAGTGTATATCTTCTCATTTTCTAATATTAATCTTAACCTTTAATTTCTCCCATCAAATACTCCTAAAAAGTGTAAAACTAAAAGAGTTTTACACAATATAATTGAATCCTACCTCATATATATATATTCAATTAGCTCCCTATTTTATTTAATAAAAATGAAAAATGTCAAGTCGATTGCTAGTGCAAGTTTTTATCTCAAAAATCGAATTGTATTTCAAGTTTGACGAGGCTTTCTTTAGATCAATTCGGGCCGGATGATATATAAAAGATATTATAATCGGATCTAATTCGAAGGGTCCGAAAACTCAATCCAACTCATAACCATCCTACCTGTACCATAACCTACAAAGTTATGTTATATTCACTATGTTCTATGGGTTTTGGTCTTTCGCCCAAACCAATGTAAGTCCATCTTAACCGATCAAAAACAAAAGGCTGAGGAGAATAAAGGTTGTAGGCAAGACGAGCCCATAATCTTCATCGTACTTTTATTTTAAAGAAATATCTTTTATATATCCATGAAGAAAAACCAAGGATCAGGATTTAAAGCCCCGCCTATCGTGCCTCTATCATCAAAACTGCACCTTGTGTTCTTACTTCTTTCTTCATCGTGGAACTTATTCCCATAAAGATTAATCTCTCAAAAAGGTATAATTTTTGCTTGGTTATAAGCTAATGGGTCACTGTTTTTTTAACTTAGCTTTATCTCTCAAAAAGGTATAATCTTTGCTTGATTATAAGCTAACGGGTCACAGTTTTTTAACTTGCTTTTTCATTTTCTTCAACTTAATAATTCTGGGATGTTGTTAATTTTCCAAGTTTCGGTTCACTTCATCTGGAGTCATATAAATTTGAATTTTTATGGTGTTCTGGTAATGAAATCTGCTGTTCTTGTTTGTTTAAGTGGGAAGGAACTATGGCATTAAGCTAGAGTTTGTTTAGTTTTCATCCAAGTGTCTTATTGGTATTTAATGCACCTATATAAGAATGATTAGTTCATAGGATGTTATTCAAATGCTCAATGTTATATAGTTTGCATTTTTTTTTATTTTCGTTGTATAGGAAAGATAATTTTTTAACCAAAGCTGCTTGACATATTCAGCACTCAGTTACTTGTGAAACAGCTTAAAAAGGTATAATTGTCAACTAAATCGAGTATGCTTCCCGTTTCATGCACTTAGTTGAACATCAAAGTAGATTTGCTTGACTGTTGCTTTGACATCACATGCCTTATAAGAAACTCAGGAAGTTTTCGTTTTTGTGCCCATCATTCTTCTTCTTGCAACAGAAGATACAGATGAAACTCTTATTTTAGCTTATACTGTACTTTTAACATTTGATAGGGAAGCGGTAGCGGATTAATGAACATGAATGTTGCTCTTGTTGAAGAATCAAACCTAAAAAGCTCTAGACTCGATGAAGAACAAATGGGAATGAATAGGGGAAGGTGGCGGCAACAGCTAGGATTCTTTAAGATTTCTTTTAGGAGCTGGAATCAAGACAACAAGATTATAACAATATAAACAAAAGATAAAGAAATTGAAAATAAAGTATGATAACCAAGAAATCAAAAGATCTCCCTTGTGAAGGTGAACGGTAAAGATGATGATGGTGAGTAAGGATTTGTCAAAAATAGATGGATAAATGTCTTATTGAACCTTCCTAGTCGCAATGAAAAGGCAAACTCGATAATATGACTCTAGCCAACCCTCCTAGTCGTGATGAAAAGGCAAATTGGAGTGTGAAGATTATTCTCCCTCACAAGAACTTGAAAGAACTCCACGAGAAGAAGCTTCGAAGGCACAAGGCAATCAACACTTTAAAAAACGAACTATCATTGTATTATTAATCAAAGAAATGTGCCTTACAAAGTTTAATGAAGTCTCCTTTATATAGGGGATGAGTTCTAAATCTCTTAAATAACTAATGAATAAAATAATAACAAACTAAACATGTCTTAACTCTAATCCCTAATAAAATAATAATAAACTAAGAATAATGTTTTAACCCAACCTTAATTCCTAATAAAATAAGAAATCTAATCCTAAAAGTTAAAGCATCATCCTATATTAAATTATATTACAAATAATCAATAAAAATATTGAAAGTTCGTAATATTTACAAAATCTCGTATTAATCTCGTATAGGATTTTATGCATGCATTGTCTTCACTAAAATGGTCATATATTGAGTTCCCCATATCGGATTGATGCAATTCAAGAACTGTTGGAAAGATAAGATACAGAAAGTCGTATCTCCAGAAGATATGTTGACCAAATAAGATCAGGATCTCATTCAAAAAGTCGTAGCAAGTATTTTGTTGCTCTGGTCTTCTTTTCCAAGGCTTGGACAAGTGAGTGATTTGGAAGAGTTATTACTTCTTTCTTTGATGTGAGCCTTGTGATGCATGTATCATCATCCCTTTCTTCAAAAAGATTCGACCTCGATTCTAAAACATTAAAGAGAGCAAAATTAGAATCGTTTAACAATTCATTCTCATTATGATTACCGAATAGATATGTTTTGAATCTCCAAGACTTTGTTCTTCTAATAGGTTCGAGTAGAAACATTAGTCCAAAGAAGCATGTATTATCATTATGGACTCTTATGCGTGTGTCATTCCCCCTCTCCTCAAAAGGATTCATCCTCAAATCTAAAAATCCAAGAGAAAGAGAATTAGATTTGTTGAAAGGAAAACTTGTGAAACATTCACCAGGATCCATGTGATGTGTCTTTATGCGTTTTAGTCGAGGTTTCTTCTTTGTAGGAACTAATTTCTTGTAGTCTTGAAATCCTCTTTTGCATGCAAGTCTTGTAATCTAATGTTTAGGTTGAAATTCAACATGGCGTTGGCCACTGTTAGCTTTATGTATGATTTCTTCAGATATTTTCTCCATGGTTTTATTCGTGTGTGGCGAGAACGAGTATTTAAAAACCATGTCAACTGATTTGTTAAAGTAATCCCTTAAGTCTCCTAAGTGTGGTTCATGAATTAAGAATTCTCGGGAGGAGATTTGTGGACTGCAGAACCTGTTTAGTTGGAAAGGAAACCCATATACAAGGTAAAACTCATTAAAAGCACTTTTAAAAGTATGGGTATAAATATCAGAAATATTCGAGTTATCGTGATATACATATTTGATATGTTCACTTCTCAGAATAGTAGTATGCTTTTGATAGGTAAGAGTATACCTTCGTGGTAGTGCATCATCTACTATGTTTTGCTTACCTCGGTCTTTTACGCGCTTAAAGGAGTTGTGTTTAGTATGGATGAAAACTTCGAGAGTCTTACCTTGTAAAATGGAGTAAAATGGAGAAGAAGTATGTTACAATATCATTAAAATGAGTAATAAAATACTTACATTTGGACTCTCGTAAATCGTGATTCTTCATTGATATGGTATAGTGATTAGGGCTTTCAAGTGGTAATCTATCAGGAGGGTCACCTAGCACCATTCGAAAACTCTTGATGATGGAAGATGGCATGGGTCAGTCCCGTGTTGCTTTCACTTTTTCATCATTTATATGTATTTCCTGTGCACGAACTATAAAGCTTAAAAACATAAGTTTATCACTACAAAACACACACTTGTCCATGTTAGCATATAAGTGTTATCAGTAGAGAACTTCAAGAGTCGAGCGAACATGAATGATATGAGAATTAAGAGAATAAAAGTACATAAGAATATCATAAAGATAGATAATAACATACTTACATGTGGAATTGTTCAAATCATGTTTCGTCATTAAGATGGTGTCACGACTAAGGCTTTCCTGGATGTAGCCTTTTTGTAACAAATCTAACTTTTTGGTTTCTTCGAGATTGTATGTTTGACGAGGTATAATGGAACCTTGAATTATATTGGTTTGGTGTTGTTTTCCTCTTTCTGGTGGTAATCCTTCAAGTGGATCACCTAACACTTCTCTAAAATCCTTTAAAAAATGAAAACACACTAGGCAAATCCTTGTTAATGTTAGAAATCGAAACAGTTGATTCCCTAAAGCGAACGAGGATGCAAGGTTGTTTGTAAAGAAGGTTCTCTCTCAATTCTTTTATGCTCACACATAGATTTTGAGTCACTTTTTTCTTTTCACAATTATGTTCACTCACCTCCCATGGGTCATTATTCTTTTGGCTTTTGAAACTAGTGATCTCTTTTGTTTTTGCCTCTTTCTCAGCTTTTCTTTTTTTGCATTCTCTACCTCCTCACAAATTATCATTTGATATTTCAGGATTTCTTTTGGTGGCATTGACTTGAGAGTGTAAGGCTTATCGTCTAGGTTCAAATTTTATTTGTTTGCCTTAACATAGTAGGTAACATCATTTTCGTATTGCCATGGTCTTCCCAGAAGGATGTAAGAAGCTTGAATTGGAATTACGTCACACCAAATTTCGTCACAATACTTGCCAAACTGTATTTTGACTAGGCATTGTTTGGTGACTTTCATCTCAAACTCTTTAATAATCCATTGCAGACAATATGGTTTTGGATGTTGTTGACAAGGTAGGTTGAGTGCCTCTACCAAGTAGCTACTCACCATGTTTGTATAACTTTCATTATCAATAATTATAGAGTAAGGTTTGCCATGTATCAAACATAGAGAATGGAATAAGTTTGTTCTTTGAATATTAGCTTTTTCCATATCTTCAGTTCTTAAAGACCGACATATAACCATACAATTAGGTCTAAAAAATTGTCATGGTTCAAACATACTGAAAATCACAACACTCAACGAAACATTTAAAGTAAAATAAAAATAAAATAAAAAAATCAACAAAATAAGAAACTCACAAGTCACTCCAAGAAAGTAACACAACGAGAGGCAAGTAAGTTGATGTTGTACTCTTTAAAACTCACTTTACCATGTAGTCTTCCACAGCTCATATCGGAGTTTGATTACTAGCAAAGGCAATAAGGAAACCTAAAAGCTTTAAGAGGCTAAACAAGGGTTAGACTCCAAGAGAACGAGAATGCAAAGAAGGAAGAAGTATGCAAACTTTGTAGTCCTACTAACACAAGGAAGATAATGTGTTAGATAATGTAAAAGAACAATAAAAAGGAAAAACAAAAGAACCTAAAACACTAAGAGTTAAAGAAAAAAAAGAACCAAACCATAAACTTAGAAAACATTAGGTCAATTTGAGCAACGTTTTTTACGGGTTACCGATGTCCAAAACTTTTCGAAAACTTCTTGAATATCGTTCAAGGTGTATAGAAATCACCTGTAAATTTTCATAACTAAATACCTTCAGTTGTATCCAGTAGACTCTATTGAACGGTGAGTCCTCAAACATTCTATTTTTCGTGGTCACTTTTATAACACCCCCAACCTGTATCCGACATGGATATGAATCCGATGTGTCACATTAACTTTTCAAATCGTTTACTTTTAAAAGATATAATTCAAAATATGGTGGAACCTTTGATCAAAAGTAAATAAATAGAATTCAACTTAATTTGAAAATAGAAACGCAATAATTTACATAAATATAATAGTGTATGTTTACAAAAAAATTATCATAGCATATGTAATTCAAACGTTTAATTACATGCCAACACATTTAGTACAACAAAATGACATACTGTGTAAATCACTTCTGATATGGTTTTCTTGTAGATATATGTTATCTTGACTAATCCTAGCTTTGTTCTCCATGCGTCTTTTTACCTACGTGTGAAACACTCATACGCTAAGACGTTAACTTAGTGAGGTATATAAAATGCATAATAAAACATTAACACACTTAATCATATTCTAAGCATTTCATAAAAATCATATAAAGAAACCATACAACATATCATAGAACCAAAACATATATATATATATATATATCATCATGCAATGTTCATTTATATCTTTTCTTTTAATAGCCCATGGTATATCATTGAGAACTTAAGGTATGTGAGTGAATTGAGGTTGTGCACTAATGATGTCACCACATGTCATATAAATTGCACCGAAATACCGCGTAGAATATGCACTGAGTGCCATGTAGAAATGTCCCGAAAGACCACATAGATATGTCTTGGAGAACCATATAGAATTATCCCGAAAGACCGCGTAGAACCCTTGACTCTTAGCATGCCAATTATACCTTTAGCTCTCATATCACATACTTTTGGGCTTTATCATTTATAACATTTCACGTAGCTTATATCACATAGATCATTGTCACATAGCTTATATCACATTTTCATATAATCATATAGGTCGATCCCATATAGCTTATATCACATTTTCATGTAATCACATAGGTCAATATCATATAGCATGAAATATAAACAATGCATGTTCACATAGTAACAGAATCAAAACTATGCTTATATTCATGTAATTATGTAATCAAAACATTGAAAATAGACTCATTGCAAGTCTTCTTTCCATAAAACAATATATATAATAGTATGCACCCACCTTAGCCTCACTTAGTCAAAGCAAAACTCTTATCTCTTTCTTTCTTGGTCAATTTATATCGTCGATTCGTCCAGAGATTGCTTTCATTCGATATCTACACAATTTACGATCGATATAAATATGAAATTCAAATCACTATTAATCAATCATCGATAACTTAAACTAAAAGAAACACTTAATTCACAATTTCATTCTGAATAGTATCGATACCCCTGGCCCAGTACTGATACTTCCTCACTATGGTATCGATACTATACTTTAGTATCGATACATATTCTACATTCTGTAATTTCATCTCTAAAAATGGTACTGATACTTGTCCATTAGTATCGATACCCTTGGTATCATTGTTACTCCTTCTGTATTGACACTCTTTTAAAGATTCATCAAATTTTACTTTATGGTATCGGTATTGTTCTTCCAGTATCGATACACAAACCAGATTTCACCCATTTTTGCTTTGAAGTATTGGTATTGTTCATCCAATATCGATACCCTTGCACAGAAATTACCTATTCAATTTGAAAATTTACCAACACTTACTTAAATCCCACTTTTTTAACTCCTTTCATGTTATTAAACTCAACTATACATATCATGACTAAAATATATCACTTTAATATACTTAAACATCCAAAATCCCATATAATCACTTGAAACTAAAAATCATACCGATTTATCAAATTGCCCCAAATCATATTCCAACACTATAGATTTCTTATTCCAACTTATGAAAAGACAAATTTCACATCAAAATCCATTTACTAACTCTTTTTCATCAATTCACTCAAAAACCCTTTTTATTTAATCACCCA